TTTTGAGACGGAGTCTTGCTCTGTTACCAGGCTGGAGTGCAGTGATGCAATCTCAGCTCACTGCAACCTCTACCTCCTGGGTTCAAGCGATTCTTCCACCTCAGCCTCCCAAGTAGCTGGGACCACAGGCACGTGCCACCATGTCCAGCTAATTTTTGTCTTTTTAGTAGAGATGGGGTTTCACCAGGTTGGCCAGGATCTCTTGACCTCGTGATCCGCCCGCCTCGGCCTCCCAAAGTTCTGAGATTACAGGCGTGAGCCACTGCCTCCGGCCTAAAATTTTTAAAAATTGAATTCAAGCTTATAGAGAATCAAGCCTAAAGGGACTGTTGAAAAGAGTGAGATGTCCAAGGTCACACAGGTAATACTGAGAGAGCAAGAACTGACCTGGAGCTAGTGCTCTTCCAATGCCAATGTGCTTCTCCTAAACACTCAGACGCTACCCATGCCTTCCACATCAACTTTAAATGCACTGCTTTAAATTATAAACTTTTTCAATAACAGCCACAACTGAGAATTCCTCTTCTTTATTTGTTTAGTCTCACTGTGTCGCCGAGGCTAGAGTGCAGTGGTATGGTCTCAGCTCACCACAATCTCTGCCTCCTGGGTTCAAGCAATTCTCCTACCTCAGCCCCTCAAGTAGATGGGATTACAGGTGCATGCCACCATGCCGGGCTAGTTTTTGTATTTTTAGTAGAGATGGGGTTTCACCATGTTGGCCAGGCTAGACTCAAACTCCTGACCTCAAGTGATCCACCTGTTTTGGCCTCCCAAAGTGCTGGGATTACAGACATGAGCCACCACTCCCAGCCTGAGAATTCCTTTTAAAGAACGAAGAGCCTGTTTGCAAGCCATAGAGTTTTCCTGTAGTCCTCATGTGCTGTTTCTACGTGACTCTCAGACACTAACCCAGCCCTTCCCTCCTTTGGCTTTCAGCCCGAGACAGTGATGGAGCTGAGGAGGATGTAGCATTAACTTCATATGGTACTCCCATTCAGCCGCAGGTAAATGTACTCGCCTACGTGCACCCAGGAGGGATCTAGCAAGCACTCCTTCCTCAGGACAGCCTCAGGCTTCGTTTCTAATGGTTTTGCTGAGCTGAGAGCAGAGAGTCAGGGCAGGAGCATCCCTAAAGGCATGTGGACCTTGAGCCACCCAGATTTAAGCCAGACCAGGTGACACAAGACAGCCTTCACCCAAACCCTCCCAGTCTTCACCGCCAGCAACAATATAGCAGCATTCTGATGCAACTGCGTGTCCCTGGAAAGAAAGGGCAGCTTGAAGTTTTTGTGTGAAGGTGAAAAGGAGCAGGCTCACCAAATTTTGTCTCAGGACAGTAGAGGATTGCAAATATGTCTGAGTGCCAGGTTTGCTTTTAGTAACAGTTGTCTGAACCTATCACCTGAGCCCCACTGACTGCCTCTCTGAGTCGCTGTCTCTCTCTGGCAGCCCAGGCTGCCCTAAGAACTGGGAGGGATCTGTCACCATCATCTGGATGCCCAGATGGATGAACAAATTGTAATCCTTTCAGGCAAAAACAGAGGGAGCACTGCTGAGTAGTTTGGGGGTAATTCACATTTAGGCTGTGAAGACTTGAAGACATACAAATCTAAACAGCCAAAAATATCACATTGGGACACAATTCTTACATTATAAGCATCAAAAGTAACTAAAACCCAAGCATGAAAGTCACACTCAGATCAATTGTTCAATTAATTTACAAGGCTGCTAACTAAGCTAACCCCTCTGGTATGTTATCTGAGACTTCACCTTTGCCTAGAATGACACATGGACCAGCCCATAGCTATATCATGTGCTTTAATCAACCCTCAGGAGGGCATTTACATAATGAAAACCTCTTTATTATCCCCTCCAAGAGTTTCTTGGATTCATTTCAATTTCCAGTGATCGGCTACTCATCCTTGCTTGCAAAAAATTCTTGTTCATGGCTAGGGGGTAGCCTGGTATAGGTAGGCTCACTACTTTTCTTCTTTTGTTATTGACAAAGAATTAAATGAAGGTGAGATAATAATACTTCAAAAATAACTTTAGGGCTGAGCACAGTGGCTCACGCCTGTAATTCCAGCACTTTGGAAGGCCGAGGTGGGTGGATCACTTGAGGGCAGGTGTTCAAGACCAGCCTGGCCAAAATGGTGAAACCCCATCTCTACTAAAAATACAAAATTAACCGGGCATGGTGCTGCACACCTGTAATCCCAGTTACTCAGGAGGCTGAAGCAGGAGAATTGCTTGGATCTGCGAGGCAGAGGTTGTAGTGAGCCCAGATCGCACCACTGCACTCAGCCTGGGTGACAGCATTTCAAAAAACAAAAACAGGCCAGGCGTAGTGGCTCATGCCTGTAATCTCAGCACTTTGGGAGGCTGAGGCGCGCAAATCACAAGATCAGGAGTTTGAGACCAGCCTGGCCAACATGGTGAAACCCTGTCTCTGCTAAAGACACAAAAAATTAGCCAGGCGTGGTGACACGTGCCTGTAATCCCAGCTACTCGGGAGGTGGAAGCAGGAGAATCGCTTGAATCCCGGAGGCAGAGGTTGCAGTGAGCTGAGATCACACCACTGCACTCCAGCCTGGGTGACAGGGTGAGACTCCGTCTCAAATAAATAAATAAAAAAATAAATAAATACATAAATTTGGAGCATATCATCCCTTCAGTTGCTCAGAAAGTTGATCATGGCTTTTCTTCCTTTCCAGACTGTTGATCCCACACAAGAGTGTTTCATCCCACGGGCTAAATTAAGCCCCCAGCAAGATGCAGGAGTATAAATCTACAGGAAACAGGAGTAGAGAAAACCCAGCAGACCAACCTGGGTAGCAGAGCCCAGATAGGCCACTGGGGCCCACAGAGTCACGCTGCCAACGAAGAGTCAGCACATTCCTCCTGCAGTTTCCTGACCCTCCATCCTCCTGGACCCTCACCAGAAGACCGCCCTTTCGAGCATAATTACAATCTTGCTGGCCACCCTACCTTGACTGTGTCTCTTTCTTCATTCGTGTAACTGCAAAATTCCCCTTCTTAGCAATGCTGGAAAGAATTGGTGCCTCTTATTCACAGAACTGAAAGACCCTGTCTGAAGAAATTAAGGGCATTCTAATGTGACAGCGAGGTTAGTAGTAGCTTACCACTGGATTCCATGTCTGGTCAATTTTTAAATTGTGCTGAAAAACACATAACATAAACTTTACCATCTCAACCATGTTTAAGTGTACAGTTCAGTAGTGTTCATCATATTCACACTGTTGTGAATGTTCTAGAACTTTTTCATTTTGCAGAACTGAAATTCTCAATCAATTGAACAACTCCCTCCAGCCCCTGACCACCACCATTCTACTTTTAGTTTCTGTGAATTTGACTATTTTAGCTACCTTACGTAATAGAATCATACGGTATTTGTCTTTTTGCAACTGGCTTATTTTTCCTGGCATAATGTCCTCAAGGTCCATGTCATGTGTTGTAGCATGTCACAGGATCTCCTTTTCCAGGCAGAACAATATTCCATTGTATGTCTATTCCACATTTTATTTATCGGTCAAAGGACATTTGGGGTTGCTTTCGCCTCTTGGCTATTGTGAATAGTGCTGCAATGAACATAGGTGTGTAAAAATCTCTTTGAAATCCTGCTTTCAGTTATTTTGGTGTATACCAGAAGTGGGATTGTTGGATCATATGATAATTCTATTTTTAATTTTTTGAGGAATCTCCATCCTGTTTTCCACAATGGCTGCAGCATTTTACACTCTTATTGACAATGCACAAACAATTCCACTTCCTCCTCATCCTCACCAACATTGTTATTTCCTGGGGTGTTTTGTTTTTGGTTTACAGTGGCCATCCTAATGAGTTGAGGTATCTAGTAATTTTTTATAAAGAAACTTTTTTTTTTTTTTTTTGAAACAGAGTCTTGCTCTGTCGCCAGGTGCCAGGCTGGAGTGCAGTGGTGCAATCTTGGCTCACTGCAACCCCCGCCTCCTGGATTCAAGCAATTCTCCTGCCTCAGCCTTCCCAAGTACAGGTGTGAGCCACCACGCCCAGCTAATTTTTGTAGTAGAGATGGGGTTTCATCATGTTGGCCAGGATGGTCTCAATCTCTTGACCTCGTGAGCCGCCCACCTCAGCCTCCCAAAGTGCTGGGATTACTGGTGTGAGCCACCGCTCCTGGCCCATAAAGGAACTCAAAATACAATAGGCCAGAATTGCCTACAAAAGTTAAAGCCAAATCCTCAGGATCACAATTGGGCGGTTTAAAGAACATGACATTGCCATGGACTTGCAAGCTGGCAGGCTTTCTCTCCTGGTGCCACCTCCCTGTGACAGCTACTTGGGCAGCATGGTTGAGGGCATGACCTGCTTTGCTGAGCCAGTAACAGCAAAGGAACAGACACCCCAGTAGATGCTCATAAAGGATTTTACGTGAACATAAAAAGCATAGTCTGTCCATCTTGAGGTTTCTAATGAGCTGGTGTCTCTGTGCTAATTGTCTTGCCTTTGTTCCTCATCAACCCCATATTATTCTCCATTCTTTCATCTGCCCTTAATACTCATTTGTTATCTATTACAAGAATAAGAGGACAAGAGTCAGAGGTGTGCCTCCAGAAGGGTCCTGGGGTCTGATTCAGCCCTCCCACCTTGCAGATGAGAGAACAGAACTTTGGAGAACAGAATGACTTACCCAAAGCCACACACTCATTAGTGGTGAGCCAGTTTTCTGACTCCTAGGCCAGTCCTCCTCCCCGTCCACGAGGCTCCTCCATGCCCATATTTTTGTATGAGCAAGTAAGGTGTGTTCCCCATGAGAACAAATGAATACTCAGACCCATGAGTGTTGAGTGCCTGCTAAGTGAAAGCATTTTGAAAAATAACTAAGGCTCTATACATGCAAGAGAGCCTTTTTAATGGCCAATGGACAGCATAAGTTGTTCAATAGCAATAAATATTTCCTGAGCATCTGCAAGGTACCAGGAACCATTCTAGGACTCAGCCCCAGACAAGGCATACAACACTGCTTTGGCAGAGCTTGCATTTTTGTTGGGGGAAATATACAATGCAGAGAATTTCAGGAACACAGCTCCTTTGTTTTACAGATAGAGAGAAGGGACTTGCCCAGTATAACACGGCTTATTAGCAGTAGAACCAAGACCAGAATGCAGGTTTCCAAACCCCTATCCAGTGCTCATCTCTATGCAATGTTCCATTCCACCTTTTTTTTTTTCCATTTGAGTCAGAGTCTCACTGTGTCACCCAGTCTGGATTGTAATGGTGCGATTACATTACTCGGCCTCCTGGGTTCAAGCGATTCACCTGCCTAGGCCTCCTGAGTAGCTGGAATTATAGGCACGCACCACCACACCCAGCTAACTTTTGTTTTTTTTTTTTTTAAAGTAAAGATGAGGTTTCACCACATTGGCCAGGCTGGTCTTGAACACCTAACCTCAAGTGAGCCACCCACCTTGGCCTCCCAAAGTACTGGGATTACAGCATGAGCCACCACGCCCAGCCTATTCCAACATTTTTATATATGTCCCTGCTGCACTAAAATTAGCTGCTCTTTTTCAAAATCTGTGCCATAAGCAATGTTGTCAGTACAACCCAGGACCTAGTAAATGACCAAAGTGTTTGATCTTCTGCCTTATTGATAATGAAAAACAGAGAAAAATTGTTCAAGCATTAAGCAATGCTCTGGCCTATAGATTAGGTGGCATCCATGTGAAGATCCTAATTTGAAAGGTAGAAACAAGGCTTGCAAACTTCCACCTGTTCTGAAAGAAAACCATTATGACAGATCCTCCGGGTGTTTATCCCAATAACCATAATAATGATACCTTCAACATAATTTTGTTTTGTTTTGTTTTTTTTGAGACAGAGTCTCACTCTGTTGCCAGGCTAGAGTGCAGTGGTGTGATCTTGGCTCACTGCAACCTCTCCCTCTGGTGTTCAAGGGGTTCTCCTGCCTCAGCCTCCCAAATAGCTCAGACTACAGGCACACGCCACCATGCCCAGCTAATTTTTGTATTATTAGTAGAGATGGAGTTTCACCATGTTAGCCAGGATGGTCTCGATCTCTTGACCTCGTGATCTGTACGCCTCAGCCTCTCTTGGCAGCAGGGACATATATAAATGCTAAGATTACAAGCATGAGCCACCACACCCAGCCAATTTTGTTTTGTTTTGCAACCAGGAGATGTTTCTATAAAGTTGGCTGACAAATTTTTAGAAACCCATTGAAGCCGTGTACAAGGGCCTAATATTGTCTCCCAAAATGTTTTTTCTAAAATTGATGAAGGTTAAAATTGAACCCCTTTTACCAAACTGCCTCTGATATTTACACCACAATTTTATCTAATTTTAGGCTACATGTTAGTTTAGATTTGGGGGGTTGTAGGTTGCAAGTGTCACATTCAAACTGTTTCAGCAATGGAGTTTTACTCTAAAGTTACGTAAGACAGGGAAACAAAACTTCCTCAGGATACACAGTACAGCCACTCGGCTGGCCTGATGGAGAGTGAACACAGACACTGAGAGAGGCTTGCTGTCTCCCGCAGTCACTTCTACGCTTTCTCTGCTTCCTTTGGTGGGTATTTTCTTTTAACTGCCCACAAGCAGCTGACTGATGATCTCCCATGTCGTCATTCAGCCCTTCTCTTAGGCTGAATCAGCCTGTGGATTGGCTGCGCTTGGGTCCAGCACCCACCACTGGTCCACTCAGCTGTGCCTCACTTGGTCATATGGGACAGACCTTGGTCACATCTGATGGCTTCCTCTGTGGGAAGCTGTGGAGAGAGAAATGTTCTCTGGGGAGCATGCACCATGAGTAACCAATACAGGAGAAATTCATCCTGAAAAATACAAAAATATAATTTTATAAAATTAGAGAATACTTTTTTTAGAGAAGATCTCACTCTATCACCCAGGCTGGAGTGCAGTGGCCCAAGCCATCCTCCCACCTCAGCCTCCCAAGTAGCTGGGACTACAGGTGTGCCCCACCACACCCAGCTAATTTTTATACTTTTTGTAGAGACAGGGTTTTGCTATGTTGCCCAGGCTGGTCTCAAGCGATCTACCCATTTTTGCCTCCCAAAGCACAGGGAGTACAGAAATGAGCCACCATACCAAGCCCAATTTATTTCAAATTTATGTAGCAGTTCACACAAAGCAAAAAACCATGTACTCCCTAAGTAGAGAACCATGAGGAACCTGCTTTAAAAAAAAAAAAAAAAAAAGATTTTCCCAGGTACTTGGGAGGCAGGAGGATCCCCTGAGCCCAATTGTTCTAGGCTATAGTGAGCTATGATCATGCCACTGCACTCCAGCCTGGGTGACAGTGAGACCCTAGCTAAAAATAAAAAATATAACGCTATTTATGGTTAGCATATTGTACTCAATTACTCAATTTGGCAGGTATTATTGAAGATCTAAACTGATTTACTTTTTTTGTTGTTGTTAACAGAGATGAGATGGCCGAGCACAGTGGCTCATGCCTATAATCCCAGCATTTTGGGAGGCCAAGGTGGGTTGATCATGAGGTCAGAAGTTCAAGACCACCCTGGCCAAGACGATGAAACCTCGTCTCTACTAAAAATACAAAAAAAAAATTAGCCAGGTGTGGTGGCAGTCACCTGTAATCCCAGCTACTCAGGAGGCTGAAACAGGACAATCACCTGAACCCAGGAGGTGGAGGTTGCAGTGAGCCGAGATCGCACCACTGCACTCCAGCCTGGGCAACAGAGCAAGACTCTGTCTTAAAAAAAAAAAAAAAAAAAAAGAGATGAAATTTCACCATATTTCCCAGGCTTTAACTCCTGGGCTTAAGCAATCCTCCTGCCTCAGCTTCCTAAAGTGCTGGGATTATAGACGTGAGCCACCACACCCAGCCATCTAAACTTATTTACTTGTATGTAATGGGTTACATAATTTGAAAGGTACATATTCCCTAAAATATTTTACTTTTAATTTTTTTTCTGAGTGGCTC